TGTGTGTGTGTGTGTGTGTGTGTGTGTGTGTGTGTGTGTGTGTGCGTTTTGCTTGAATGAGTGTGTTTACGGATTTTCTTCATTCATATATACAATGAAGTTTGTAAATGGAAAAATCATTAAAGAGAACAAAAGAAATTGGATAAAGGGAAGATAAGAACACTTTGGTGAACTGACATTAACATTTGTTACCATAAGCTGTTTGTCAGAAAGCCATGTAATTGACGTTTTCTGAAATGGTACCGTTTGTATGACTAATGTACCATTTATTTTAGTTATTTAGGTCAATAAATAATTAACCACTTTTGCCAAGGATTGACACGCTTTTCCATACTCGCATTACACAAAGAAACACACATATCTTGGTAGCAAGGTTTATGAGGAAACATTATTGGTAGACTCTTTGGCCATGCCAAGTAAAGTTTGGGAACACCCGGTGAAAAAATTTAGGCCAGCTGTACTTGCAAACAAGAATAATATATGGAGATGTCATTGCCATCCTCTTAGGCGGTTCTTTTACATCTTCGCAAAACATTCAGCGTGTGTGTGTGAGTGTGTGTGTGTGTGTGTGTGTGTGTGTGTGTGTGTGTGTGTGTGTGTGTGTGCGCGCGCGCGCGCACGTGTGCATGTGTGCGTGTGAGTGTGTTTCGAAAGTAGTTTGTATACACCGTCTGTTGCAAAGATTAAATAGAAGGAAAAAGATGGTATAAAAATGTGCAGAAGATTCGTTTTAGGGGACAAGCGTTAGCTTTATAGACGAGTCGCAAGTCTGTACTCAAAGCTCCTTTCACTTACGAGATGGACAGAACTGTGGTGGTTTTAGGTGACATCGATATAAAGGTACAAAATCTCGAATACTTCGAATGGGATTTACCATCTGGTCGAGTGACTTACTTCATGGGAAACAAGAAACTGAATACTGTAAATATAAAGTACAAGAAGTTTTCTAAAAGGGCAAATGGGTCCAAAAGGTGTTTGTTATCTGAGCCTCCGCTTCCAACATGTTACATGTAAAACAAGCGCTAACTCCGCTCCGCTGATGTTTTTGGCGCTGCTCCAGTCATTACCAGTCGTATTTTTGTACCAGAGATCTTTGCTTGGAGTGTCGAGGAAAAAACAGCAAGCATTCTAGGGGGTGCATACAAAGCGCCCCCCCCCCCCCGTAGAAAAAATCCCCAAAGAATATCCTCGCTCTGGAGAAGAAAAAAAAGCATCCAGCTGAACATCTCGTCTTTATTTCCCTGCAAAAACCGTAGCAGCATGTCTGTGGTCTGCAGAAAATTCTGACAGGGAATTTGTAGGCTGGCTTTTTTTCCCAAGATCTCCGAAAAGTCTTTGTAAAAACAGGGCTTAAGTGATGCAATGCATAAATAGAAGAATGGTGTGTTTACTCATGCTTTATAAACATGGCACTTGGGTGGACCAACAAAGGCGTAAATTGATTTTCTTTAAAAGAAACACAATGTATGCACACACTTTTACTTGCAAGGCTTAAGTGCATGAAGGACGACGAGATAGGGCAAGCAAATCGGAACGGAAGAGAACAGACATACACAAAGATACGGTAGTCCGAAGAATGAACACAAAGAAGCATTAAGGCAGTGTTTATGTTTATAATATTATGACAAACGGGCTGCCTCTGGGAACAAGCGGGAGAGGGAGGTTGGGGGGGGGGGGTTAGAAAGGAGAGCACTGGAGGATGAACGAATAATTGCAAGTAGTATCTTTCTCCCGATGCTAACATGTGAGCGATGATGGTAAAGCTGAGTCAGCTTACGAAAGTAATGTAATTCCTCTCAAACAGCAGGTGTTACATGGTTTTTATAATTTAATGATAAATTTGCTAGTTGCAAGACTTCTAGATCTACCTGAATCTTCTCAAGTTCTCTTAGAATTTTCTTCCCCACGGTTATTCTGATTATAGCATTTTTATTTCTCTCCCTGTTCCCTGCCCGTGCAGCATCCGTACAAGCAATAGCAACCACAGTTTCATTACATGTTTATCTCTGCGAACCTTTTTCAAATTTGCCGTCTGTACGTACACTTCGCCCTTAGCCTAGATGTTTATTCTTCTATGTCATAGTGCTCCTGTCCGCTTACGTTTTGCCTTTATCGCAATTTACTCACGCCCACATTCCTGGCCGTTATACATGGGCTATTCACCAGACTTGCACAACCTGCCCTGTGTGTGAGTGGTTCGAGAACCACATTCCGTGACCTGAGATGTGCAGATCATTTATTATTTTTGTATTAATCATCTCTCTCTCTCTCTCTCTCTCTCTCTCTCTCTCTCTCTCTCTCTCTCTCTCTCTCTCTCTCTCTCTCTCTCTCTCTCTCTC